ATGCTTGCTTCAATAAATTGTCAGCATTCAGCAGATCCCTTGAGTCTGTGTGTTTGTTGACCCAGCATTCAGCAGATCCTTTGAGTCTGTGTGTTTGCTGTCCGCTCCATCGCCGATGCTGCCCTTCCTCCCTTGTGGGGGATCCCTTACCAGTGGGGACATTTACAATCTCTGTGCTGGGGCTGGTCCCCGGCATTTTCTGGCACCCGAACAGGGACCCATTGGTAAGCCCCCCTCCTTATGATCTATCCACTTTCATTTCTTTTCAGGAAAAAAGAAACGGGCAGCTAGGATCCTGCACCAGTGAGCCGCGGTCCCCCCAGTAGCATAGACTGGGTGAGAAAGGGCAGGGAATCAAGAACAGTAAGTATGGGCACACAAGAATCTAAAGAACGAGCATTATTTATTGATATAAGCAAGCGTCTTTTAGAAAATAAAGGAGTTTCAATAGGAAGCTCTCAGTTAAAAAGATTTTTTCATTTCATTCAAGAATGTTCACCTTGGTTTCCAGAAAGCGGCTCTTTTGATCTGAAGACGTGGAAGAAGGTAGGAGATGACATGCACATTTTTTATCGTCAATTTGGGGATGAAAAGATTCCAAGAGACGCCTTTGCTCTTTGGAACTTGTTTCGGGATTGCTTTGATTCTAGGCATGAAGCAGAACAACTAAGAAGAAAATTAAAATCTCCCCTTTCCACCGCTTCATATCAAAAGGAAGACGAGAAGGGTAAACAACAGGTAATTGCAGTTGCTGAGAATGTACAGGAAGGTAAGAATGAGTCAGAAAGTGATAGTGACAGCGATAGTGCTGTAGATGAGAAAAATAAGTTAACAGATAAACTTTCTCCTTCAGATGAGGAGGATTTAGAAGAAGCTGCATTTAAATATCATAATGAAGATTATCCTCCCTTTTTAGCTCCAGTTGTAACAGGGAGGCCAAGAAAAAAATCTATTAAACCTTTGCCTAACAGAGTAGGCTTTTTAGGAGCAGTTGCAGAGGCTCAACAACAAGGAGATCTGAGCATCTGCTGCCCTGTCATCTGGGCAATAGATGATGATGGTGAGCCCCAATGGGAGCCTTTGTCTTTTAAGATCATTAAAGAATTAAGAACAGCAGTAAGGGATTTGGGACCAACTTCCCCTTATGCTGTTCAATTGGTAGAAAATATTGGCTCTCGATGGCTCACACCTTTTGATTGGCAACAAACTGCTAAATCATGTTTAACTCCTGGTCAATATTTGTTGTGGAAAACGGAGTATGAAGAGCAGGCAAAATCAGCTCTTCAGTCACAAATTCTTAAAGGGACCAGGGGCAGAGAAAAGTTAATTTTAGGACAAAGACCCATGAAGACCATAGAAATTGAAGGAAAGAAATTTAAAGGGCTTTTAGATACAGGGGCTGATGTGACTTGTATAGCAGCCAGAGACTGGCCTTCTACGTGGCCTACAACTAAGTCTCCTTCCACTTTGGTAGGTCTAGGCTTGGCCTCTAATGTAGCTAGAAGTTCAGGAATTTTACATTGGACAGATATAGATAAATCAGGAACAATTAGGCCTTATGTAATTCCAGCCTTACCATTTACTTTATGGGGAAGAGACCTTATGGAACAATTAAAGATTACTTTAACGGATGAACAAGACGCTCCTGAGCCTTTTTCGTAGGGGCCTCTGTTACCAGACAGGCTGACCCAATAATCTGGAAAAGTAATCATCCAGTTTGGGTGGAACAGTGGCCCCTAAGTAAAGAAAAATTAGAAGCAGCCACAAAGTTAGTACAAGAACAATTAGAACAAGGACATATAGAACCATCAAATAGTCCTTGGAATACTCCAATATTTGTTATTAAAAAGAAATCTGACAAATGGAGACTTTTACAAGATTTAAGAGCAGTAAATAATACTATGGAGACTATGGGAGCTCTTCAGCCTGGGCTTCCTTCTCCAGTGGCTGTGCCTAAAGGATATAATATAGTAGTTATTGATTTACAGGATTGCTTTTTCACTATTCCTCTTGCTGAACAGGACCGATGGCGATTTGCATTTAGTTTGCCATCTCCAAATTTACAAAGACCTTATCAAAGATTTCAATGGAAAGTTCTGCCTCAAGGTATGAAAAATAGTCCTACATTGTGTCAAAAGTTTGTGGATCAGGCTCTGCTTCAATGCAGACAGAAATATCCAGAATGTTATATTATTCATTATATGGATGATATATTGTTGGCTCATTATCAAACAGAATTGTTACAACAGGCTCTTGCTGAACTTGTGAAAGATTTACAACAGTGGGGATTAATAGTAGCCCCAGAAAAAATACAACAAGAGCCACCCTATAATTATCTTGGCAGAACAATTAAAACAGACTATATAATGTCACAAAAATTACAAATAAGAAAAGATAAACTTGTGACTCTTAATGATTTTCAAAAATTATTGGGAGATATTAATTGGATACGGCCTTTTTAAAAATTATCTACTAATGGGGCCAGCCCGGTGGCGCACTGCTACAGTGCACCACTTGGGAGCACGGTGGCGCTCCCACCAAGGGTTCAGATCCCACATACAGACCGGTTCCTGCTCACTGGCTGAGAGAGGTGCGGGTGTGACACAGAGGGTTGCGATCCGTTGCCGGACACGAAAAAAGACAAAAAGGAAAAAAAAATTATCTACTAATGATTTAAAGCCTTTGTTTGAAATTTTAAAAGGAGACTCTAACCCAACTCCTAACAGAACATTAACCAAACCTGCTGAACAGGCTTTGGAGTTAGTAGAATTAGCTATACAAAAACATTATTTAAGACAACTGGATTATAGCAAGCCATGGTCATTTATCATACTAAAAACAAAACATACTCCTACAGGGTGTTTGTGACAAAATGATCCTTTAGAACGGATACATTTGCCTGTTTCTGAAAAAAGAATTTTAATGTCCTATCCCACTATGGTGGCTACTTTAGTTTTGAAAGCTAGAGCTAGGATTAAGGAGCTATTTGGTCAGGAGATACAAGAAATAATTATTCCTTATTCTAAAGAACAATATGAACATCTTTTGCAGATTGACGATCATTGGGCAATTGCTTTTCTTAATTTTACAGGAATAATTTCTTTTCATTTACCAAATAATCCATTGCTTCATTTTTTACAGGTTACTGACATTATTTTTCCAAAATGGTATTCATCAGAGCCTTTAATTAATGCAATTTTAATTTTCACAGATGGATCTTCTAATGGCAAAGCTATAACATTAATAAATTCTCAACCTACAGTACAATGGACAGGAGAGACTTCTGCTCAGAGAGCTGAACTAAAAGCAGTCATTTTTGCATTTAAAACTGTTTAACATCCTTTTAACCTTTATACAGATTCCTTGTATATAGTTAAATTATTTTCTGTTATTGAAACTGCAACCGAAACTGCAACTTTGTCTGCTGCTTCTAAAATTTTTTCCAGGTTACAAGAATTACAAAATTTAATTCATCAAAGAACACATAAATTTTTTATAGGTCATATTCGAGGACACAGTGCACTCCCCGGACCTTTGGCAGAAGGAAATTTTAAAGCTGATTTATTAACAAAAAATTGTATTCTTACAGCAATAGAGGAAACAGCTTTATCTCATAAGACTCATCATCAAAATTCTTCAGCTCTTCAAAAGCAATTTCATATTTCTAGGGAAGACTCTAGACAAATTATAAGAAATTGTCATGTATGTCCCCAATTCATTCCTTCTCCACAGATGGGTGTTAACCCCCATGGGTTAATGCCAAATATCCTATGGCAAATGGACGTGACACATATATCTGAGTTTGAAAAAATGTCTTTTGTTCATGTAACAGTAGATACATTTTCTCATGCAGTTGTAGCATCTGCCAGGACGGGTGAAGCTTTTAAGGATGTTATGCAACACCTTTTTCAATGTTTCTCTGTTTTAGGAATGCCAAAAAAGATAAAGACTGATAATGCACCAGCTTATACTTCAAAGGTTTTCAAAGATTTTTACAATAAACTTAACATTTTTCATTCTACAGGAATTCCTTATAATCCACAGGGTCAAGCAATTGTAGAAAGGACTCATCAGAGACTTAAAATACAGTTAAATAAACTTAGAGAGGGAAAATTTAAATATTCCTCTCCTCATCATATTTTACAACATACAATGTTTGTGTTAAATCACTTAAATGCTGATAAACAGGGAGAAACAGCTATGATGAGGCATTAGGGGAACAAAGAAACTAAGACTGTTTTGGTTAAATGGAAAGATTTATTGACTAATCAGTGGAAAGGACCTGATGTTTTGTTGACCTCGGGACGGGGTTATGCATGTGTATTTCCACAGAATGCTGAAAGTCCTTTATGGATTCCTGATAGGTTGATAAGACATTATAATGCCACCAATCAGAAACAAGAGACATAAAGAATTCAAAATGGGGTGTCAGACCACCAATCAAAAGTTAAAGAACAGCGTGGTTCCTGAAACAAGAAGACTATGAATCCACCAGTCTACAACGACAAAAAACACTTCATGTCCTACTTGGGGCCAGATCAAGCGTCTGACTTTTGCAGCTGAAGAGTTGCTGACATTCTCCAGGAAAGAACAAACACCTGAGACTTTATTTTTGGTTATACTTGCTCTGCTTTCTTTTCAGGTAATCTCAACTTCAGCTATGGCTCCCTCTTTTAGGGAGAAAAGTAAAGCTTATTGGACTTATTTTCCAAATCCGCCTTTGTTACATTCTGGCACATGGAGCAGACAAAATCTTAAAGTTTTTACCAGCCATCTTCAACTTTTGGGGGTTATTTCAGATTCTTTAATACCCCATAAGTTGAGTAATACCTTATCATTTCATGGCTTGGCTGATGAAGTTCCTTTATGTTTCAGCATGAATAGTACTCGCGTGCCTGTCGGATGTTTGCCGTTGAGTTATAGAACTTATGTAACTGATTCTCCTCAACCTGATTCAGATAAAAGATATATTTGGACTTTAGAAATGGTTTCTATGGGATATAATAATTATAATGAGACATATATAAATGAATCTCTTCCAAAACTTTTGGAGACATGTGATAATAGTAAAAAGTATTTAGACATGTATTAGAATTCTATAGATGTTAAGGTTGATTTTCCAACATGGTTTAAATGTGAGTTTTCTCAAGCTGCAGCAATTTTTAATCCTAGACATTCAAATGTTATTATTAAAGATTTTTCTGTATCCGCTCCTTGGTATGATCATAAGCTTGATATTTTAAACAATATAAATAAAAAATTTATTTTTTCAGGATCTAAAGAATTGGCTTTTGGGGAGCCCCTACACAGGTGGTTTACACCTAGTTGGGTAACTCCAATTTTTAAATCAGTTTTTAGAAATGGTAAACATTCTTATTTTTTGATTTATATAGATTATTTGCTGCCACTAATGTTGTGAAATTAAATAGACCTGAAACTACTAAGATAGAATTATATTATCCTAGAGTTTGTGTTAATGCTCCTCATGCTATATTAATGGGTAAATTATGTGAAATTAAGATAAGTTTAAAAAATTGTTTAATATTACATGTAAACGTTGTATTTTAACCAATTGTATTAATTACACTTTAAGTAAAAAGTACCCAACCTTTTTGATTGTTTATCAACCTTCATATGTTATTTTGCCAGTTGTGTTACAAGAACCTTGGTTTGATGATCCTGGTACAAAAATTTTAAAAAGAGTAAATAAATTACTTAGACCCAAGAGATTTGTGGTGGCCTTGATTTTAGGAATCATTGCACTTATCAGTATAATAGCTTCACTTGCAATTTCCACTACAGCCTTGGTACAGAAAATACATACTGCTTCTCATGTAAATGATTTATCTCATAATACATTTGTTGCTTTAACAATTCAAGAACAAATTGATAAAAAGTTAGAGACTAGAATTGATGCACTTGAAAAAACAGTTCTTTCTATAGAAAAGGAAATTCAACATCTTCAAACTAAAATGACCACTAGATGTCATGCTAGCTATAAATGGATTTACATTACTCCTTTGGAAGCAGACAATAATACAGAATGGAGTTTTGTTCAGAATCACCTTAAGGAAATTTGGAATAATACTGATTTGGCTGCAGATATTTCTTCTTTACAAAAAAAATTTAAAACATAAGTAATGCTCATTTGTCCATTTCCCCTGATGAAAACTTAGCTGCTGATATTTTTCAAAATATCAAATCAACTATATTCCATAGTACATTTTTTACTAATATGATTCAATATAGTTTGATTGGCTTTTGTATTTTAATTTTGATCCTTTTTCTTCCAGTCATCTTCAGAGTGATTTCTGACATGTTTAGGCACATACAAATCCAGGAAGGTATGTTTCAATTATTCACCAAGAAGAAAAAACCTCCTTCTTTTGCCACCTCTAAGAACTAAACTGATTGGCCAAAGACGGGTAAGTGGGTATCATCCTCACACCACCTAAGACAGGACAACTGCCTTTGCTGCAGTCTAATCCTATGACGGGTTCCATGTGTGGGATGGACCACCCCAACCTAAGACAGGCACAGTTCCCAAGAGGTTCTTTTGGCTTTCTATAATAAAATAGGGGGAACTGCGGGTGCACCTCCCACTCATAAGACTAAGTATGGTAAAGATCTTTTAATGAAACACGGTGTTTACAGGGCCTCATCATGAAGGAATGATGGCAAGGCCTCATCGTGGGAGAAGATGCCAGCATTCCACCTTGATTTTCTGGAG